TGCCCTTAAGATGCAGAATGTTACACATAACTTCCTATAAATGTAAATTAGAATTTAATATCCATATAGTTGCACCTTAAGAATATACCCTGGAGTATTTATTACCAACGTATGATTGTTACCTGATTCAGTAAGTATTTTGGTACACAGAATCCTCCTTTCACCTTAGGGATATAAATAAATATTTTTGTAAATATGTACTATTTAACTTGGGTATCACAGCAGATCATGCATCCCCTTCCTTCCCATCTTTTTGGACTATATACTGTCAGGTATTACAGAATCACATGCTGGGGCTGAATGAAACCAATTTCAGGAGCCCATGGGATGATGGACATCCCTTAGCCATTTTCTAGCCCAGGCAGCTTTTGATGGCTACTGTTGAAGAAGGTCTGGACAGTAAATCGACAAATTTACCAGGTTGTTAAAACTTGCTAAAAAAAGTGAAGACTTCCCATTATGCCAAATTATCCTGATGAGACTTTTACAATCAAGGCAAGAACTTTGCTCCTTCCCCACTTGCAGGAAGAGAGATACGCCTTGATTCAGCAATGCACTTTAGCACATGCCTCAAAATACTGAGTGGTCTCCACTGTCCTTAAGTACCTCCCTCGGTTTAGATAAAACATAAATGGTAACTCAGTCTGATCTAATTAAGTCAAAGGAAAGTGTGACCTGCCTTTTAGCTTACAGGGGCAAACAGGAGAGATTTTAGCACCACACATCAGGTAGGTTGTTGTATATGTAATAAGCTGGTGCTCATGTATATAGGTCACAGACTAGCAGCATTTGTTTATTTGAACCATCACTGGATCAACAGTCTCAGAAAAAAAAAAAAATAAAAGCTTGAATGCACTGAGTGATTAAGTAAATGCATAATTCAGAGCCATCTTCTCTACAAATTCATGAGGAAGCTGTAGATAGGTGGTGCATATATTCATGCTGTCTTCCATAGACAGAAGACTTCAGTTTCCAGGAGTGTCAACTCTGGCAGATTCCCACAACCCTAAAAGTTTTAGCTTTCCAGGATTTTCAGAGCTCATCAAGGATTTAGCTCATCAAGCTCTGTTAACCATAGCATAGTTCATGTTCTTAAAATGTGTCTTTGCCAAAATCGGTTAAAGAAATGCCCTTCCTCTATTACTCCAAAATACAAAACAGGGTCAATAATGATGTTTTTCTTTGTTACATCTTCTAGTTCACAATGTACTTCATCCATATGGCTGAATTTCCTTGGGCTGCACACAGGTTGGATTTGAGATTGAATTATGAAATGAAGCATTATGTTTTAGCTTAAATCCTTCAAAAGAATAAATAACAGATGATGATTTTTCAAGGGGATGGTGCCTCAGCATACAGGTGTGAATCCTCTTTGGCTTGTACAGGGTAAGGCAGTCAGACCGAACTTCCTATAAAAACGATGCACAAATCAGGCCTTGTTAGACCAACATTCACAAATCTACTTTGCTACCTTGTAGCAACAGCAGGAAACTTAGCAAGAGAAAAAGGGAGACTTAATATTGCTTCAGACTGTCTCTGCTCCAAATTAAGCACTTTCAATGGGGGCTGAAGACGACGTAGCAGCTGCAGAGCATATTGAATTGATTTTGCCAGGTATGTGCCTGCATGGGGCTGCTTTTTAATTTAGTATCTGGAGGGTTAATTAGTTCTGGGAGCGTAAATGGGTTGGTTAAGCAGGAGTCCAGATGAGCTGCCACGTTTCAGTTGGCTAAAACTTAGGAGCAGACCAAACAAGTAGCGAGAATAACTAATCTGCTTCCCTGAACACCTATTTGCAAAATTAACACAAAGCTAGAGCTGTGCAGAAGTCAGAGAGCTGCTAGCAACAAGCTGGTTAGGTTGTTCCTCAGATCTGTGGATTTCTGAAGTAGTTTTCTGTAAGAAAATTCAAGTTGCACCTTTAGTAAGAGAAATCTCAGATAATTAGAGCCTGTCAATATATTCCATAACTTTAAACATTTTACCTAAGAAGAAAAGGAGTTCTGTCTCCTAGAACACACTCAGGGAAAGTTGTTTCTCTATATGAATGGACATTTCATGGTTTTTCAGTAACTGAAGGAATTTAGATGGATGAGAACATAATGACAAGCTAGAGATGGTTCAAATGAGCTCTCATTCTTTCAAAAACCTTCAAAATGGCAAAGTATTCCAGTGTCAATTTTTCCAATAAAATTCCAGTCTGTATTTTGGCAAATAAAAAAAAATACCAGATGAAAACGAAAAGATTTTGTCTAAACTAAAACTGGAGCTTCACAAGAAGGCAGATCAGGTGCTCCATGCTGAAATTTCCAGGTCACGCTATTTTTTTCCATTATGAGGCATGGTCACCAGTGTCCATTCTGGAAAGTCCTCGGACAGTTCAAATGGAAAACAAACTAGGATCTTTCCTGGGTACTGTGACTGGACCATCACTAGAAGTATCTGGAAAAATTTAACATTTTCTGGCAAAATACATCTGTTCAGAACTCTCAGCTGTTCGGGTGTTTAGGAAGAAACTAAAATGCATAGAGAAAGCAGGAACACTGAAAAGTGTTATTGAATGATTTTTCTTCAAAAATCAGAATTTTTTGGCCACTGTATTCAAAAGCCTTCCTTCACTTTGGACGTAAATACAACAGATTTAAGATTCTCACAGAGGATTCAACTCTGATTTATGTGGTACTCAACCAGCTCATCCCCAGTGGATGATTCCAAAGACCACCATTTCCTTGCAACTTCTGGGCTTTAAAATCTAGACTGTTCCCAGAAACATGGCCAAAAATGATCTAGTAATGATAAAAACCATGTGTACAGATATGCTGGACTATATAAGATACTGTTTTTCTTCAGTAACACATTCAGGAAATATTGTCACTCTCTTATTTTTTAGTCTATTTAGTTCTAGGTGAGCACATACGTACATTTCATTGAAGTATCTCATTTGTATACATCAGGCTATCTACATTTTACTGTATGGAGGTATCACATTATTAATAGCTATTTTCCTTAAATAGACTACTGTTTGCTTTAATCTTCCATTCTGTGCATGATCTTGCAACTGTAAAAAGGCTTTCATACAAAGGCTGTGTTTTTATATGCAAATCTATCATTTGATTATACACTTTTTGTCCCTACATTATCATGAATATTACTGATTAATGTTTTATGGGTTAGGTTTAGGATTTGTGAGCTATTTCAGATTTTATCTGTTTGTCATATCATCTGCAAATACCGCATCTTTGTTGATGTTGATTGGTCTCATTTACATATTTATCACACTTCTATTTTCAAGGATGTTTTGCTATAAACTCTGTCCCCATTTCTCTTCCATGTACTAATAGTACATAGATATATTTTCAAATTGAGCTGATTTCCATATATAATTCTTTTAGTTAACAATAAATCACTACTTAGAGACATCCTATTCAATGCAATCACTACCTTCATACATATTTGACATATGGTTTCTCAGTAATTAAAGACAATGGGAGCGGTTTACAACGCACTTTGCATCACTTCATAGTCCAGAGAGCTCAATGATTTTCCACAAGAGCTAGGCTAAAAAGAACCCTGCAGGACTGGGGAGAAACAAGTGCCAGTAACTCTTGGCCACAAAAATTAACACTTTCTTTTTATTTTTTCAAGAAAAATGACTGTTTACGGCAGTGCTTGATGGGGTTATGAGGGTCTGTACCCACGAGTGGGCTGCAGCAACTGGAGGCTTTTTAATGTGTACCACTTGCCAATAGAAGACTCCTGAACCTACAGTGATGTCCTGAAATGGGTCTCATGCTTCAAAAAAAGCCAGGAGCCATGTGAGCTTTACCACTTGCTGCTGACCAGAAGCTTTTCAATCTCTGTGACATGTTCACTGCTTGTTCTTCATCCATCCATCCATCTCTAGGTTCAAAATCCTTTCCCTTTCCTCACCATAAATTCTGGTGTGTTCACCTTCTTGCTAAATCCTTTACTTATTCAAGAGTATGAGGGAAAATGGTAGAAATGATGCAGAGAAACATTGTCAATTGATTCCTTTTTAGTTTTGCCATTAAAAGGCACTGACTTTAAAGTGCATTTCCCAACTCCCACTCAGACTCCTCTTCGGTGAACAGCCTGTTTGTGACCCTCTCCTGTAAGGATGCAAGCACTGGGTGTGTTTCTAAACAAAATGTTGTGATGTGATCATATATGAAATAATTCAGAGAAATTGTACACGCTCCAGAATCATTCAGGTTGGACAGTGACAATTATAATTTCTGGTACTAGCACCAGTTAATCCATAGATTTTTCCATTGCTAAAGAATAGTAGGAAACATAAAATAAGTATTTTTCCTTCTAGTGGTGGAGGGCTGCAGTACATCCACAATAGTATGTTAATAAATGTATGATACATAGGTTCATCAAAGGTGCTCATATTTTTATCTCCAGGCTTATTGCTAAAATTCATAGAAATTAGATGCTTACTCCCTTTACGTGCTAAGATTTTCAGATCTATCGCCCATAATAAACTTCTCTTATGCATCCTGCCAGCTGAGTCTGAACATGCACAAAGCAATCCTATTTATTCATTACTGAAAAGAGAATTGGCTGCCCTGTTATGAACAGGAGTTCTTTTCTCCATAATCTCCCACTGATTCATTCCAATCTATTACAAAATTCTCAAAAAAATCAATCTATTACAAAATTCTCAAAAAAATCAATCTCCCATGATCTTCTGCTATGGCACTGTATTTATTAATTGCAATGATATTCCATGCAGAACCAACCCTTTGACCGAGGACTGCCTGCTTGCTGACATAAAATGTATTTATGACAATAATGTTTTAGAACGTAGTCTTAGAAAGAGAAGTTTCTTTTTTTTTTTTTTTTTAACAGAAAGATGAAACTAGATGAAGCTCAGAGTTAAGGGATTGCTCACAGGCAGTAAAAGGAGCTGCAACCAGAAACTGCTTTTTAAAGTAAAATAGTTTTTTCCTAGTAAATACTGAAAACATACATACATTTTCTCTAGGTCACCAAGTCCCGCAAAAGCTCCTTTTGGAATGACTCTCATCTTGGTGAGGACAAATCTCCTGAAAACAAAGAAAATGTGGTGATTATGCACTATTGACAACACAGGAATGCGTGGTAGTCTTGTCAGCACAGGAGAGGCCTTTAGCACAGGTACAAGGATAGTCTTCAGTGTGAAGGCTTCAGTGTCTAAATACACCTGTAATGTGTAAAGGCTTCATGGGGCTCCCACTGCCTGCCCAGACCAAAATTACAGTACAGTATCGGGCTGCTCAGCAGCTGGAGCTGCTCAGGGGAAATAGCAACCATCAGTAGTTGCAATTTCCCTGTTTGATTCAGTAAGAAATCCAGGCCCAATCACTACAGCTTTGCTGTGAACTGGGAGGAGAAAACATCTTTTTCCTCTCAATCTCTCTTTTGAGAGATGCTCAAGCACAGGATGAACCAGCCCTGTGGAGCCAGACTGGGGTGAGCTGCTTACACAAGGTGTAAGGTGGTGCATGCATGCTCATGCAAGATAAGCCTTAACCTGCCGCACAGATAATTTAAAGAGTCAGTTACTATCTCCCATCAGTGCAACTTTAATACCCTTTATTGCTTCTCAGTCTCTCTTCAAATTAGTTCATAATGTGTCACAAAATTAGTACTTTGGAATGCATAACTCTATCACACATGCGCCAGGACAACATTTTAATAATTTTTAAAGGTCACAGAATATGCTTTATGAAGAAGAAACATTTAAAATATCATATAAACCTTTTTGTTAACCTGAACTCATTTCTTTTTATCACAGAAACCAAAGAGGACAACAGAACTTCTGATGGTACTCAGCAAATGAAAGGTAGACTATCTACTACTCCTTGCAGAATTAAAGTGTTATCTGGGTAATTGCTTTCTTTCATGCATTTGATCATTCATAGGTAGTGAGCACAAAGAATTGAATATATTAATATGACCTGCTCATCAAAATACATGCTTCACACGATACTCTTATGACTAGGTGCCAGATCAAGAAAGAGTAGCTGAGATATGAGGAAGCTCACAGAGATTTTGTAGGAAGAAATATTGTATTTTTGTATTTGCTGCTGAGAACAAAAGTAATATTCAAACTCCCATGTATTAAACATGAAGCAAATAAAATAAACATGACATCCAATAGTACTTGTATGAAATGATAGCTGTTAAAAAAATGGTATTTTCATTTTTAAAAAAACCTCACCTGTGTTACATACGTGAACATCAACCTGTGATTCAGTTTCTTAATCTACTTTCCCAGGGATATGGAAATAAATTGTTTCGCGAATTACTATGGAAGTCTTTTTTTCAGTGAGCATGCCTGCTAGAGCTTCCCTTATTATTATCTTAGAACTGGTGTTGTATGGCTGCTAGGGATTGCCTTTCAGCTCATGTCTGTGCTGCCTTATTGTAATGTCTGTAGGAAGACAGGAATGGGGAGTCAGCCTGGTATTGCCTACTGTGTAGTCCTGCAAATTTTAACACAATACCTCAAAACTCGAGACTTACTTTCTTACCATTCACATAAAGTATTCATATAATCCTCATCTATTTTTTATTACAGCTGATTAGTTTAGAATTTTCATGGAAGATTATAATGTTTTAATCAAAGTCATAGGGAAAAAAATATTGTTATAGAATACCACTGCAAAAGGTTCCTAATTTTTAATTGTAGGTCTTTAGCAGAATCTACCCCCTCATTTAGATTCCTAAATATGAGTTAATATTTATTTAAGGGAGACAAAGTCAATGCATGCATCAACTAGCTCTAGAGAAGTCACTGTGATTACATTGGGAGTAAACTTGGCCCCACGCTTTTTTAAACATTGAAATTTATGGTCTTCTCAGTCCTGAAAGATGATAAAGTCAATTTCATATTCCATTACTCTTGTACTATCATTAATGTAAGTCAGAAGGAGCTTCAACACAGTCTCGCACAAGAATTACAATATTGAGATCGTTATGCAAATGTTAGAAGGATTAAAGAGCTTCCAGAAAAGGCCTAACCTGGATTAGGCAATTTGTAAAGCCCTGCTGAAAACACGGCGGGTGTAATGCATGCAAAGCTCCGGCTGTGCTTTCAGGGTGCAGCGAGGCACAATGGATCCTTGCAGAACACCCAGCAGGCTTAGTGCTACAAAGCTGAACCATCAGGAAACTCTTTAACTTTGATCTGCTTTGGAACCTTTCCTAAACTCTCCTTTGTAGAAATGCACGCCTAATTTTGGAGCCCTAGAAAGCAGGCTCTGTCTGAAAAGGCACCTGTAATTTTTTTTATGGCAATATTCTAAAGTGAATTCTCTCTCTGCAGGTGCAGATCATCAAGTTTGCCATTTTTTTTAATTAAACACTGGCCTACGTCATGCTTCACCACAACAAGAATTGATCCTGAAACAAAAGAAAGGAACCTCATTCAGAGATGAGGTTACCTATATGAGGAAAACCACAAGTACACAGAAGTGAAAAATCAAACCTTGAGTTTCTTTGTTGAATACCCTGCTATCCTGCGTTAATAAGGTGCCAGAATTCAGGAGCCACGTGTCTAAGGCCCTGGAGCAGTTAAAGTAGAATTGAAGTTTAATAGCTGAAGTCTCACATTCCACTTTAAAAAAATTAAGGTTAATTGTTTTTAAACATCCCTGGGTAGGCTAATAAAGTCAGCTTTAATGGTATAACGAACACTGAAAATTAGAATCAGCTATTTGTTGAATTATCAACTGTATAATGAATAGGAGGAGTCTATTATACCTAGCCAAATGCTGTATTGTCAATAAATCTCACCAATTAGGCTCCAAGAATCAATCTGTACTTAACTTGAGATACTGGCCCTGTAGTACCAATTCTTTCTGAGGTACATGGAGAAAATAATTGAAAAGCATTTCCTTGGTTTTATTGCTGGCATTATTTTAGGGTCAAAGAAATTAATACAGCTCACCTTTGTTCAAGCATGTTTCATGTCAAGACAAACAAGTAAACAAAACTATCCTTTAAAAAATATGTGCTTAATGGAGAGATGCAGTATTTGGTCCTAAAAAATTACGTTAGTGCCCAGGCACTTAGCAAGAAAAGCACTGAAAATCCTAGACACTGAGTGCACGGCATGGAATTGAAAACCCAGAACCAGATGCCCAACATAAGGCACAAGAAAGGTTAGACTGAAGGTTAGGTGATCCAAAAATCTGCATGCAGAGCATATCACCAGCCTCAGTACACACAGGGAGCCCCGACTCACAGCAGGCTTTGCCAGGAGGGAGGAAGATACTGTTGTCTCTTGACACAGCCCTGGCTGCTGAAGCTCAGACACAAGGAATGGGAGTCCTGGTGTCAAGTCCTCCCTCACCCTCACCAGTGCAAACTCCCATATTTCATGCCCCAGGAGGATGGTCAGCAGCCAAGGGACCTCTCCCTAGCTAGGGTCACGCATTGTGCAGCCAGGGCTAGACTCCTTAAACCACCAAAGAGGACAAGGGGGAACTTAACCTTACCATCCTCTCTAGAGGCATTATAGTTAGAGCTGATTTCTCTGGGACAAATTAAAAAAAAAAAAAAAACAAAACACAACAAAAACCAAACCACTTTTAAAAGTCCAAAGCTTAGTGATCCTAATGTTATTTGGGCTACAGAATGTCCCAGAAGTCCCAGTAAGGACTCCAGTGTTGGAGCCACCAAAAACTTAACAAATGAGAGAGCAGAAATAGGTACGGGAAAGGAAAAAAAACCTCAAATGGTGACACGGTTATCCTGCATCATGAGAAGGCAATACAAATGGCTAGAAATAGAAGAATGTCAATATCAACTGTTGTTATTCCTTACATACAGAAGTAAAAGCTAGATTTAAGTCTGGCCCGTTGCTCCTATACATACCCTGATGTCCAGGAGAGGTTTCTAAATCCTGATTTAAATACATCCATTGAAAGTGATTCTTGTGGAGTTTAATGGCAAGAAGTGAAGTTGTCTGCTGCAGTTGTACAATCACACTTACACTGTGTATATATATATATCTGTGTTATAAATCATAATATAAATATTTATTTAAATATATAACATTGATTAATATTTAACTAATTTTTACGTACTTCTGTTTTTCAGAAGAGAGTGAGAGTAATTGTTTTCTGTTGTGCATATCTTTTTACACCTGGAAGGACAGGTAAGCTTGAAATCAGATTATATTTCTCTGGATTGAACATGAACAATTCCCACAGTTTTTTCCCTTTTTCATTTTCAAGTACCTCTTTTATTATATCATTTGAGTTTGTCTCATGAATGGGTATGAATAAACTCTTCTGTTATGAAACTACTGAAAAAATGTTGCTAATTAAGGCAAGACCTGTCAGGACTAGGATAGAACTATTTCCTACTGATTTTTTTCTATTTATACAGAGACATCTAAACATGGTTATTTAAAACAGTGGGGTCTCAGCTAATATGAAGCCACTGACACAGGTGACTTGCACCACTTTATATCACCATGAAGAGCGAGCAACCCAAATACATCTTGTTTCTGTATGACTGTGTCTAGTATAAGAGAATTATCATAGTGCCAACTTAATCTCAGAACCTATAGAGGACATGATGCAAACAACAGAAATGAGCAGGTACTGCTAATAACTCTCTAACATTTCCAGTTGTGAAGAGATTTATTGAACTTTTCCTAAAATAGAGTCTTCTGCAGCTGAAGCAGTACAGACAGAACGTAAGACATAAAGGGTAAAAAAAACACTCCAGAAAAAATAATATTCTTCCAGCCAGCCCCACATGAATACAGTGACAGAAATCAGGCTGACCTCCTCACGACGGGATGGAAGACTGGATGTCATTATTCAAGTATCTAGTGCCCAAGGTATGAGTGACTAAAAAGACTTGGTAAATTACAAGGTAAAAAAGTGGACCAATAATGGTCATTTCTGCTAAATGTCTCTAAAAAAAGTTAACAGGAAACATGTGAAGTGTGCATATTAAGTAAATAAGTGTAAATACACTGTGTTTGTGAGGTTAGCCATTTATGTGCAAAATGATGTATTTTACATATTCATCAAATTATTTCTCA